TATATATATAATATTTTATACCTGAAAGTATAGTTTTATATAGTTTTTATTATTATGAATCACGTACACAGGAATAGTTTCCTGGGTGCAGTGTATGCGAGCCGTATCTACGTATGTGGTGAACTACTACTTCATGTGGAATCTATTCCGCAATCCGCAAATGTTTAATATGAATGGAGGTAGTGCTGCGACTGCGAGACCGAACTTTGGCTTGAGGAGCAGTCCAGAGGAAAGTGAGAAGGCGTGGGCGCTGTTGGAAATCGACTGGCGGACACTCAATCATGCTCAGGTATGTGTAGGAGGCATAGCTGGTGGAAGTGTGTAGGTGTATGTGTATACACATTTGTATTGTGTAGCTGGTAGAGGTTGCGTTGATCTATGTACCCCGGTATAGTTTACTACTGTTGCAAATACATATATGCGTGTGACCTACAGAATAATACATATATTTGTTTGACATACATAATTTTGTCATAGGTTTACTACGTTATACGCTCACTACGTTATACGCTCATTCTAATTTAGGTTGTAACTCGTACCATTACTTGTGTCGAGTGAAGGTTCATGCTTATATTTCCGCTATATACAGCACAGCTGCCCCATTTTGAAGATCTGTGCCAATAACATCTCGCGCAGTATTCATCTGTCACACGGTTCTAATTATAGGGCACCAATCACATTGCGTTTATTTTTATCACATCTGGTCTAACTACATGCCTCCTGACCAGCAACAACTACACATGCGTGTGAATGACGAGATAGGACGAGCAAATTTCTAATCTTAACGAAACCAATCATGCTTGTTCTATAAAAATCACAGTTGGCCTACTATATATCTCAGTATCAGCAATCGCCCACACGTATGATTGTCGAGACTGGTTTAATAAGAAGAGATTCTATCTTTAGCGAACCAATCACATTGCTTTTATAAATGTTTCAAGTTGTCAACTACCCGCCTCAGTACCAGCAATTGCTCACACACATGGACGACGAGATATTAATGCAATTCTACTTTAAGCGAACCAATCACATTGCTTCTATAAATATCACAGCTGGCCAACTACATGCCCCAGTACCAGCAGCTGCTCACACGCATGGTTGACGAGACAGGTCTGATGCAGAAGAGTCTCAAACAACGCTCGGGTGCCCCGCCCGAGCCTGAGAAGAACTGTGTGGTGTGCCGTGAAGCACCGCCAGAGCTATGCTTTGCGCCATGTGGACACTCGACCATGTGTTTGGACTGTCATATAATCTGGCAATCAGTAAGTACAGTTTATGTACTTGTCATGATATATTTGCCGTACGTTTTTCTTATATAGTATATATATATATTTATATATGTATATACGACCTTGTTTAACTTTAAACAGTACTATAACAGTTCTGACTTTATCTTTAGTCTAACCCCATTCCAATAAACTTCCCTCTGTGTAGCTGGATAACCGTACGTGCCCGCTGTGCAAAACAGCCGTCACTGATACGTTCTACCGGCGCATGTACGAGCGCAAATTGTTGTCATGCGACGAATACACTCAGCGAGGGCTTGCACATACAGTTTCGGAGGTCTCCAAACTGCTGCTATACATCGACAAGCATCCGGAGACTATTGAGAAGCTGGCGCATGGCAAGAAAGCTGTGTCAGATATCATGAAGGAGAGCGAGAAGGGTAGGTAAACCCTAATGCAGCAAAACCCTAAACCCTAGAACTGTCGAGGAGACAAGGCACGGGCATAAGGGTGTGTTAGGTGTCACGGACGATAGCCAAGAGGGTGGGTAGGACAACACGTTGGGAGTAGGAGAAGAAGGCTATAGCAGACATCACACCACAATGTGAGAAAGGTAGGTAGCCTTAATTTCTATACGTCAGCATGAAGTCTGACACTATCGAGAAGTTGCAGTGACACTCGAGTGTGGGAAGAAGGCTGGCCCAAATTACCATATGTCAGCAAGTATATGGACACTACCGAGAAGTTTGTGATACTATGGAGTGTGAGAAGAAGGCTGACCCAATTACCATATGTTAGCAAGTATTTGGACACTATCGAGAAGTTGCAGTGACAATATCGAGTGCGGGAAGGAGGCTGGCCCAAATTACCATATGTCAGCAAGTATTCGGACACTATCGAGAAGTTCAAGTGACACTATCGAGTGTGGGAAGAAGGCTGTGTTAGAGTTAGAAGGGTAGGTGGCCCAAAATCATATATGTCAGCAAGTATTCGGACACTATCAGGCAGCCAAAACTCACTGCTGACCGTCAATACGAACTGTGACATTTGCTGTATAGAAAGTATGGGAAGAAGGCTCGACTGGCGACAATGGAGGAGTGTGAGATGGCTAGATAGCTCAGCTTGGAGGCATTTGCAGTACGCCTAGTATGTGCGTGCACGGTGTCAATAAGCGTCCAGAGAATGACAATAAGTTGTGAGCTGTGGGGCGTTTGTCATGAAGCCTAGTAGACGTGACGAAGCTCAACAAGTGCGCACGTGGTCACTGATAACCT